AAAAAAAAAAAACAAAAAAAAAAACAAATCTGTAATCCCATTAACAATAAACACAAGCGGGGGTGAGAGGATTGCCTGAGTCCAGAGGATTTCCTGAGCCTAGGGTTTGAAACCAGCCTGGGCAACATGGTGAGACCCTGTCTCTTCAATAAATCAAAAAATTAGCTGGAGGTGGTGGTGTGGGTCTATAGTTTCAGTTACTTGAAAGGCTGAGGCAGAAGGATTGCCTCAGTCCAGCAGGCTGTGGTGGCTGTGAGCATGCCACTGCATTCCAGCCTGGGTGATAGTGAGATTCTGACTCAAAAAAAAAAGTACTCCTAACCAGGCTCGGTGGCTGAGCCTGTAATCCCAGCACTTTGGGAGGCTGAGGTGAGTGGATTGCCTGAGCCCGCGGGTTCGAGACCCAGCTGGGCAACCTGGTGAGACCTCATCTCTACAATAAATAAAAAAATCAGCCGGGCGTGGTAGCGCATGCCTGTAATTCCAGCTACTTGGAAGGCTGAGGCAGAAGGATTGCCGGAGCCCAGCAGGTCAAGGCTGCGGTGGCCAGGAGTGGCCACTGCACTCCAGTCTGGGTGACAGAGTGAGACTCCAACTCAAAAAAAAAAAAAAGTACTCTTGATCACAACCTGTGTTTATTGTTTTTCAGCCAATAATTCTGGTGGCATTACCTGCGTGTACTGCAGCAGTTCTCAACCTTGTCTGTAAATTAGAATTACCTGGGAATTTTAAACTTCCCAATGCCTAGGAATGTTCTTGGTAGATTCTGCAATTAACACAAAATCTCCTCGTGTGGGACTTAGGCCCTTGTATTTAATTGAAGGTCCTAGAAATTTTAAAGTTGAAAACTACTGGATTAAATTTTTGGAATGTTATAACAATCTCTAGGGCTCCACTATTCTCTCTGGTTATATGAGCCAGCTGCCAGAGTGTATCCTGGCTGACTGGGAGGTGCTCCACTCAGAGAATTCCTGATTTTTACCTGGAGGAGTGGTTAGTTCCACCTGGCCTAATTTAGTGAGGACACGTAATGTCTTTTTGTGTGTGTGTGTGTTGGAGTCTCACTCTGTCGCCCAGACTGGATTGCAGTGGCCACTCCCGGCCACCACAGCCTCGACCTGCTGGGCTCTGGTGATCCTTCTCCTTCAGCCTTCCAAGTAGATGGAACTACAGGTGCATGCTACCATGCCCGGCTAATTTTTGATTTATTGTACAGATGAGGTCTTGCCAAGTTGCCCAGGCAGATCTGGAACCCACGGGCTCAGGCAATCTACTCACCTCAGCCTCCCAAAGGCGCCGGATTACAGGCTGAGCCTCTGAGCCCGGCTACGTAATGTCTTAATGAGATACAAGTTTAGTTTAGCCAAGAACTAAGTTTTCTTTGTTATATAAAGTTGCAACAGGTACAAGTTGCTTTACCAAGAAGGAAGAATATTACATTTATCATCCTTTCCTTCAGTACATGAATCTGACTACCCTCCTTTGGTAGTTGGTAGTATTAATAAGCTCCAACTAACACCTGTAAAGCAAGGTTCACCAATTACATTGTTTTTAATTAAATCAAAGATACCACAAGTTACAAGACACACAGATATCTTACATAGTACTAAGAAAAAAAACCTCTGCTAATTAATTATGAGAGACAATCAATAGTAAGATAAATCTCCAATTCACACATTTTAAAATGTAGAAAAATGTACATATTAGAATTGATGAAATAGACTTTGAATTCCAAGCCTGTATGGTCACTTCGATTTCTCACAGGCTCCTTAAACCTAACATGTTCCAAACTGAATTTTTAGTTTTTTTTTTTGAGTTGGAGTCTCACTCGGTCACCCAGACTGGAGTGCAGTGGCCGTTCCCGGTCACCACAGCCTCAACCTGCTGCGCTCCGGCTATCCTTCCCTCTCAAGTAGCTGGAACTACAGGTGCGCGCTACCACGCCGGGCTGATTTTTGATTTATTGTAGAGATGAGGGCTCACCACGTTGCCCAGGAGGGTCTTGAACCCATGGGCTCAGGCAATCCACTCACCTCAGCCTCCCAAGGCGCGGGATTACAGGCTGAGCCACTGAGCCCGGCCCAAACTGGATTCTTCATCTACCTTGCCAAGCTGGTTATTAACAGCATTCTCTGCCCTGGCAAATAGAGTCACCCAACCTAGATCCATGGGATTCATGTAAGACTCCTGACTCTATTACTTTCCACATACAAAAGGTCTTTCCCATTCTATCCATTCTGTCTTATACTTCTTTCTTGAACGCACTGCCTTCTTTTTTTGCCTCAATTGTGGCTTTGATTCAGGTCTTCCTCATGTCTCCACAGGATTACTGCAATAAACTAACTTTCCATCCCTCTAGTCAATCACTATTCAGCACATAGTTTTATTTATTTATTTATTTATTTTATTTTATTTGTTTTTTGAGTTGGAGTCTCACTCTGTCGCCCAGACTGGAGTGCAGTGGCCGCTCCCAGCCACCACAGCCTTGACCTACTGGGCTCCGACGACGATCCTTCAGCCTCAGCCTTCCAAGTAGCCAGAATTACAGGCATGCGCTACCACGCCCGGCTGATTTTTTGATTTATTGTAGAGATGAGGTCTCGCTGCCCAGGCGGGTCTCGAACCCGCGGGCTCAGGCAATCCACTCACCTCAGCATCCCAAGGCACGCGATTACAGGCTGAGCCACCAAGCCCGGTTTGGATGGCATTTTAGATATGTGAAGGAGCATAAACTGCCTCATATTTCTGAGCTTCAATTTCCGTATGTGGTCAAATGGGGCTAATCCCTACTAATGTCCTCAAGGAAGTGACATAATTTAGGAGAAAGTGATTTGGAAATAATAGCGAGTATTATTGGGCTTTTGCTACTCTAGTTGTTTCAAATGTGTTAACTCATTTAATACTCACAACAACCCTGCAAATACTACTATAATCACCCTCATTTTACATTAAAGAAAACTGAGGGACAGAGGACAAACTACTGGGGTGGCATCATTTGGAGGTAAAGCTGGGATTACTGGCACTTTACACAGGGAGATCTAGCCCGAGTTGTATTTTCTGCAGCGAGCCTCTGCTGTTCTTTCCTTTCTGTGATGACCCACATTATCTATAGTAGGAATTTGTTTAAATAAAACCTGCCAGCCGGGCTCGTTGGCTCAGCTTGTAATCCCGCGCCTCTGGGAGGCTGAGGCGAGTGGA